CCATTTTTTTTTATGAACATCAAACAAGAACTTGTTTAATTGAATTCATCTTATAAGCCAATTAGACGGATTACTAATAATATTAGATATCATTATTTGAAATAGATTTTGAGTAATTTAAGTCAAAGGACTATTGAGAAAGAGTCGCCCCATATGATTTTGTTAGGATTAAATTAATTATATACACTCGGTGTATATTAAGCTTGACATTTTAAATGCTATCAAAATCTATGCAATTGATTATTTAAAGTATTGTGAAAATCAATATTAAAAAAAAAGTCGCCTCACAAATATGTCAAACTTGTAAAATTTATTATGTGTATTGAACTAACAAAAAAATAGGACTTTATTAGGGAGGGGTACATAAATTTTCACATAATGGTTTACATAATTACGTGTAACATATATCCAACTTTTAATTCAAATCTCACACTTTCACATCAATTACCGAATGATTGTCACATCTAGGGCTGTGAATGGATCAGATCTGCCTATATCCGATCTGATCCGATTTGATAAGAAAATTATCTGATTCGATCCGATAATCCAACGGATATTCGATTATTAAATCCATATCCGATTTGCTATGTTATCGGATATCCGATCTGACCCGATAAGAAAATTATCTGATCCGATCCTATCCGATAATTCAACGGATATTTGATTATTAAATCCATATCCGATTTGCTATGTTATCGGATATCCGATCCGATAATCCGATCCGAAATTAATAAAAATTAGGAAAAAAATCAATGTTCTTTAAAAAAATTTGAACTAATTTGAGGTCCACATGTTTTTACTAGCAAGCCCAATAATGACTTCTACTATCATTATATTTCTTTTTAAATGAGTAATCATCTTCTAATTTTTTATTAACATTCGATGTGGGATAAAGTAAAATTGAATTTCAATTTTAAATATAAATATNTCGATGTGGGATAAGGTAAAATTGAATTTCATTTCTAACTATAAATATTTTATTTCATTATTTCCCATTAACAAATCAAATTATTTGTTACATATTAATTATTAGTTTTTGAAGTTGTAAAATAAATTACAATAATAAATTTAATTAAGAAAAATATAGATATTTATTTACTTTAAATTAGTAAACTAAAATTTAAAAAAAAATCTATTATCTTTATAATATTTTACATTTATGTGTATAATTATTTATTCAATTTGACAAACGGTCGATACCGATTCAAATTTTTGACAATTGACCCTCTTTCTTTTTCGGGTTGATGCATGGGTCGATTTTTAAAATATTGGTTGAAATCAAATTTTTTTTTTCAAAATTTTCAATTTTTAAACATATTTAATAATTATAAATTATTCAACTTTTTTATGTTTTGAATTGAGTACTCTTTTATTCTAAATTTATTTATTTTAGTGACAAATAATTTGCTATAAAAACATTTTATCGACTCAGTTATTTATAACAATTTGATTATTTTTTATTCTAAATTTATTTATTTTCTCATTTATTTATTTTAGTTACAGATAATATGTCATAAAAATATTTTATCGCCTCAATTATTTATAACAAATTGGATCGGATTGTTATCGAATCAGATCGACCGATATCCATATTTGATCCATTTAATTAACGAATTATTGGATTTGGATTTTGATCGGGTTATCGGATTGAGATCCTAAATCCATCTCTCATTAATTTCGTCGGATTCGGATCAAAATCCAATCTATTGACAACCCTAGCCACATCACATTATGTACCTTATACGTACATAAATTAGAGAAAATTACCTAAAACCAAGTATTTAAGTTTTCAAATTCAAAAATCAGGTGTAATGTTTATTTAATCAATAATCAGGTTTTAATTAAATTAATAATTAAAATCCTAATTAAAACATAATTTTCAATCTGCCCTTTCATTCGTCTCGCTCTCTCCCCCTCCGTGTCTCACTTCTCCCTTCTCCCTCACCGGTTACTGCACCATATCTGCCGGCGGTCTTCGACTCTTTCCAGCAACACTAATCTTCCCTTATAAAGCTCGTCAATCGTACATTTACACTCGTACCTCGACTCTTTCCAACAACACTAATCTTCCCTTATAAATCAAATCTCCCATTTTCTTTTCATTTCTGCACAAATTGAATCACGCTCCACTCAAATCAGCCAAGGGTTCTAGTAATGCTTCCTCTCTCTATATACATGTATATGTATGTATATTTTTTATTTTAATTTCTTTTTTTCTGGAGTTCCCTAATGATTTTTTTTGATAAAAATTGTATGTGTGGGTGCAGATGCAGATATGGAGAATTATGATTTCGAGTATTCAGACGAGGAGCACGAAGAACAAGAAGTCGATATTGAGAATTAGTATTACAACTCCAAAACAGTATTAAGCAAAACAGGTTAATCTATTTTGAGTAATTTTATCAATCTTAAAGAGGATTCCTCTCTGTCCTTCCACATTCACAATTTTGGCTAAGTTGTAGAACTTGAGAAATTTTTCTGAGCCTCCGATGAATAGATTTTTGAATTGGGTTTGTTGTGATAGCTAATTCTGTCATTTGATCGTGAATTTATCTTCTCTGATATGTTTTTTTGTTTGTAGGCTTGGTTGAAACAGATCCAGAAGCTGCACTCGAGGGTTTTGCAGAAGTTGTACGGATGGAACCTGACAAGGCTGAGTGGAGAGCTCTCAGAATTAAATGTTTTCCTGACGATGTATTACTAGTTCAGCAAACATTTGAATGCATGATAATA